GCTGGATCAAAAAGCCAAACGGGACACATCCGGCCCCTCGGCTTAAGTTTGCTCATGCCTGTTCTTACGTAATCCTTTTTTTTTTCGAAAATGCGAATAATAAGGCTATCTTATTCTTTTTTTAAGGGCACATTACAAAATGGAAACAAACAACCATTCACATTCGTTTTTGTAATAATACCTATGGCAAATGTACTGTAGTGTCTAATTAGGCCTAATCTCCGATCACTGGACTGTGGTACGAAACCTGAAGAAAACCTATACACAAACAAAGATAATGGCAGTCGTTTACTACTGTTTACCTTGAACCAAAGTAGTACCAGCACACGCAGGGCAAGGAGGCGAATACTGTTTGTTCGTAGCAAGCAAAATACGCTCTACACTCTTCATTTATTATGAATGGAATAACAGAAACGTATTCAAACACGTCGCTGTGTTTTCCTTAAATGACACGTTGTATTTTTAGCGTAGATTACTCACACGATTAAAATGGCCTTCGGAGGTCAATGCTAATTTCGATATATCATCTTCTGATTACAATCTTCTCTCCTTAGGTAAAGTCTGCCATGTTCCTGACTGAGGACCAATTTTTCAAACCAATGCATTGGAAAGACCTTGCGAGGTTAATCCTGTTGAAAAGAGGAGGAGGACTCCCGGGCTTAATTGACTGTGTAAGGGAAATTACCTCAACTACAATTTATTTCTGGACGTCGTCATAGTTTTATGGCACAATTTTCTTCACGGTGTCAGAAGCCACAGCTTGTATAGATTAAATGGGAAACTTGTCCTCAAATAACTTTGGACGTTTAAAAAAAAAAAAGGTTTTATTAAATCAGAGATGAAGGCCAGAGGACACTTACAACAGTTACACTGTGGTTCTTATATATATTGGTGTCAACCCTTGATATATTTTTGACAGTGATCCATATCTCAACAGCAAATATGCTGTGACCGGCGAAATGTCCTGGGGAGGACTACAGAGTCATGTCATTTACTTTGTACATGACAGCCTTTACCCTTAAAAACATATAATAGGTTTGATTTTTTTTTTATGTTTCTGTATGGATGTGGTCCACAGAGAGTCAGGGCAGCTTTTTTTTAAACTGTATTTAGGCTTGCATGTGTCATACCTAACTATCATCATGTGCCTCAGTAATAACAAAAAATGATTTATAAATGTAAATTTGCTTTTGATGGACCATGATTACTTTCCAAAGTTAGGAAATTTCTAGAACCTATTAAAGTACTCTTTTTGGTTTATAATTATACGAACAAAAACAATGACCTTATCACTCAGTAGTTATATTTAAATAGCTAAAGTATCTGTTCAACTCCGTTTCGTTTGGCTAACATTAGTCCATACAACCACGATTCCTTAATTCACTCATTCCTTACCACGACATTACAAGTCATTAGTAGGCTAGGCTATTAGGAGCGGCTTCTCAAACAATGGATAATGGATGATGTTTAAGGTTATGGTCATGCTAGTAATCTCAAAACCAGAGGTAGGCTGTTACCTTCCAAGACTTGCTTTTTAGTGAGGTACAGTTTCTCGAGTCCTGGAGAGTACTATTCCCTGTTTTGTTTTAGCTTAAATATTCAGTTTACTACTACCACACTTATACAGACACATGAACACAATGAATTGAACGTACCAATTTAGTGTTTAGGGTGGCTCAATATTTGTAGTAATAGTATTTAATGTAAATCTATGTAATCAGGTATGAAAAAAAAACCCACGAAAAGACTTTCACCCCCCTTCTCATGAAGGTCTCCATGAAAAAAAAAAAACCCACGAAAAGACTTTCTCCCTTTCACCCCCCTTCTCATGAAGGTCTCCTATAATGAATCACCCCATTCCTGTTTCTATGGGTCGCTGTCCCACTTAACGTTTAGATATTGCTGAGAAAGCTTTCACTGCCCCACCCCCCATCCCCCGCCCAACCCCCAACCAATCCCCACAGCTGGATTGGGG